CAGGGGCCCCTGGAGGCCCCAGGAGCCCCCAGGGGCCCCTGGGGGCCCCCAGGGGCGCCCGTCTCAGGCTAACAGGGGCGGCCCCTCCCCACTAGGGTAGCGAAAAGGGCCGCACATTGGGCAAGAGGCCTTTAGCCTGTCGAAAAGCCAAACGTCAAGGCAGCCAGCTGCACAAGAACCGCAAACCCCAAACCCTAAACCCTAAACCCTAAACCCTAAATTTTCTAGTGGCCAAAAAATCAACAATCCCCGTCAAGGGCAACACCCGCGGCCCCTAAAGAGCCGCAGAAGCCGCAGCAGCAGCTGAAGCTGCTGCAACAAGGGGAACAGCAACAACAGAAGCAACTGCTGCAGCAGTCCCTGTGGGCTTCCGACGCTCTTTAAGGGGGCCCCCCAGGGCCCCCAAAAGGGCCCCAGGGGGGCCCCTAATGGGGGCCCCTTGGGGCCTTTTGGGCTGCGCTGTGGGTCCCCACCGTGAAACTTGTGGCCGCAGGAAGTGACAACGCGGAGGAGTTCTCCTGGCTTCATTTCGTCAAAACAAAAAATGCAAGCCTGAGGAAAAAGTCCCTCACAGAAACCCTAAACCCTAAACGCCAAACCCTCAACCCTCAGACGCACCATACCGCGAGACCCAGCAGTCTCTACAGCAGTGACGGCGGTGGCGGTAGCAGGAGCAGCAGAGCAGCAGCAGCTTAGTAGCAGCAGCAGCAGCAGCTGAGTAACAGCAGCAGAGCAGCAGCAGCAGCTGAGTAGCAGCAGCAGAGCAGCAGCAGCACAGCAGCAGAGCAGCAGCTGGCAGGCCGACCTCTTGTTCTCTGGAGTGGGCGGAAGAGGGTGTGCCGCATTCTGCCTTGGCAGCCGGGTCTTTGCTGCTGCTGCTGCTGCTGCTGCTGCGGGGGGCCTTGCTGCTGTCCTGCAGCAAAAGGTGGGTGCAGGTGAGAATGCGGGTGTGGTGCAGCAGACTTGCTGGCAGCAAATTGGCCGCCCGCAGCAGCGACAAAAAGATAAAGGAGCAGCAAAGACAAGCAGCACAAGCCAGCGCAAGTCCCATCAGCAGCGCCTGCCCCTCGGGGGGCCCCCTCGCCAGGGGCCCCACAACAGCAGAAGAGGGGGCCCCCAGCAGCACGTCCAGCCGGTCTGTGTACATCCACCTTATCAGCATATAAGTCACAGCAGAAAAGTAAAGTCTCCTTGAGGGAGATCTGAAAAAAAGAGCTGGAGGAAACAGCAGACACCGCCGCAGCAGCCGCAGCAGCGTAGCAGCACTTGCTGCAGCAAGCGAGCCCGCCCACGCGCGCGGAGCTGCTGCCAGGGGCCCCCCGGGGGCCCCGGGGCCCCCGGGGGCCCCCGGCGGCCCCG